TAATTACGCATCGTCTAACTCCAATTTTAATCCCGTCTAAGCCATTTTTAGAGTTTCGTGAATTGTAATAAAGTAACAAAAACGTTTGCTGTTCCCTCATATTGTATATAATATATATATACAATATATAATATCGTTTAATTCATAATAAAAAAATGGTGCCTATAAATTATTTATTTAAATTATTTTATCTATATCGGACCAACTTTTCACAACACAACGAGAGAGCTTATTTAGGTCAACGCGGTATGACGCGCTCACTTATTAATTTCTCGCGAAAATGTTATTTAATTAAACGCTGTTGCTAATGGCGTGTACACGAAATATATCCAACCTTGGGGTGGAATTAGCACGTTATCGTCCGGTAAAATCTCAGCTGTAAGGGCCGCGGAACTACCCTTACACACTGTTATCTAGCTCGTCCTTATCACGATACGAGTGCCCGGTTATGCACTGTCGCTGGTATACGAACGTCCCGGTACTTTAAAATGATCGTAAACGACGGGCGGTGATACACACAAGACGTCTGTGTCGTACGGGTAATGGCCGTTGTTAAAGAGCGTCGATTCCATTCAAGACGAGCTCGTTCGCGACCTTATTTTCCTTCCTTAAAGTCGTTCACATAGCGCAAATCATCGTGGAAATTGAGTAGATCGATTCAATAGAATTTTCACTCAAATAGATGCACTCAAGCGAAGAATTGAATAACCATGTGTTCCTATGGGGCTTCCGAAATTATAAAGATTATTTATTTCTATAGCACCTGACATACACGTATAGTAAATTTTATGAGAAATCGTAAAAATTTATTTCGTTATAACTTTGCAGTAATAAAGTTCGGTGCGATTCGGATAAAACCGCATCCTGTTGTTTCACGCGCTGACAAAAGATTATTTCGTTCCCACCGATTTCTGAGTAAATGTATTCATAATATTGTTTGAATAAATGCGTCTGGTTAAATTTATCGAGAAACGTTTTTATTTAGCCGGAAATAAAGTTTCCCATGGAATTTATTATGCCGGCAACGATTCGCTTCTACGATTCTCGCACTTGCGATAATGAACGCGTCCTTTCAGTCGTCTCATGCATTAATTCATCATTTCAGTACAGGTGATCGACGTTTCGAGCAGAAAGTCATCGAGTACATTGAATTTTCAGCGCGTTTCACGGAAAACTGCCTTCGAATCGACCGATACGCGACGCTCGTAAACGGCACGGTCGAATACACCTCGCGAATCACCCCGCCTCCCCCCTCTCTCTCTCTTCCCTCACGAGCTCCCCTCTCATTTGATATCGCGAAACAAAACGTTGTCGGCATAACATCAAAGCAATTGCCAACAAAAAGTTTATGACGACGCGTTAGTCCGTTGGTATTTTTTATTCACTAATTCCGCTGAATCATGTCCAATTTTCATTAATTTAGGTGTACCGAAATTCCATGCAGATTGTGCGTGCTTCTGTATTATGAGATTATTCACAATGAAGTCAAACGAAAACTCGACGCTTTATATGTATAGGACCGTAAATTTCTATTAACACAATAGCATAAAATACCGTCTATATTAATATCGTGAAAACAGTGCAGAGAAATTTGAGCGTAGAAATCAATTTTGGAAATGCCTGTGAATAATATTTATGATTCGTAGCCGAGGAAACAGGAAGCTCTATTTCTCATTAGAATTTGAACTGACTTCAAACATTTTATATGACTTTAAAATAGAAAATAGTTTTCATAGTGTCAACGAAAACTGTATACAGAAGTGAGAAACACCAAGTATTTAATTACAGTTTGATGATTTGTAAAGATTTTCTTTGTATTTGCATTTAATCTCAGATTTAGTACTATTTTACATATTTGCAATTCCTATATTTGTATACTTCATAATTATTCATTCGTCTTCGAATATTTATTTTAAATAATTAAAAGACATGACATAGCTCTCAGAAAGTAGGTCGAAACGTTAGTGTGAATGTACCGTAGTACAGTATCGAGTACGCGGAGCGTTGACCCTTACTACTGGCTGACTATAAGCGATACGTTACTACTTAATGTGGAGCTGTTTACCGTAAGGTAGTAAAGGGCCTCCCCGCTCCGTTGTTATAAACTACGTGAAATATGGATCGTACTACGGCGATTGCATCAGCATGTATGGCAAGAAAGGAGCTAACCCCATTCTCAGAATATCTACGCCTTGAAGAAGAAGGCTGGGAAGATCCTTCGACGATACGTATTTCATACTCATCGTTGTTGTTCAGCTTAAACGAATTCCTGCTAACCGTCGGCTCGTGCCAATTAATTTTCATAATCTTCGTACAGCGAAAATAAATGAACCATAATCATGAGATTTCTATTAAGGCTTGAAATATTTTTGATAAATACTCAGAATTTTACAGAAAAAATAGTGAGGTATTGAAATTGGCAACGTTAGTACACTTGTTACTAGAACAGATTAGGCTAAGTATTAATGAATCGGGAAATACTAAAAGCGATTCGTATTTCGGTTGCAAATTTCGCTCGAATTGAAATATGAAATTGTTTTCCAAGAGGTATCAAAAATCACTTGAACGCGGACGGTTAACTGAAAAAGCGAAATTGATTTTGTTACAATCCGTGTACTCCTGCAGCGTATTTTTTTAACTACGGAACCGGTGAAAGTGAAATTTATTTATTACGTTTGTGACTTGCTTGCAACGGTAATCGAAAAAACGAGTACAATAACGTTGCTTTCCACTGGCCATTTTAATCGACGCGAAGCACTACTAGGAACCAATTAAAGTTTCATTCAACGTTTCGTTTACATGTTTCCTCCTGACACTAATAATGCTCGTTTTCTACAAACACGCATTTTGTCATGGTACATATCATGTAGCATACAGTGAACTTTTAACGGGACGTAATATGATTTCAAGCATTTAAGGATGTATTAGCTATACAGTCAATCCCAAAAGTTTATGCACTTTAGAAACGCATTTTTTAATNCGGGATTGACTGTATAGCCAATACAACCTTAATTTGACAGATAGTAGAAAATCTCGATTCGAGACAGCTGAAATAAGCGAAAATAATTCATAGATATTTTTTAATACAAAACTGGGTTGAGTATTTATGACTTTTATGGACATTTAATATTCTGTCCTGTTATTTAAAGTCGGTGACACTGTTTCAATAATCCACTTCAGCATATCTGACACGACCCACTTAATCCGCACAATCTGAAAATGGTTCAAGATACACAAAGGCGACTGGTGGCCCAGAAGTCCTCGGCCATCGAGCTTTGGAATATAAGAAGAATTTGCGATAACCGCGAAGAAAAGGCGATGCGTTGAAACGTTTCTCAGGGGGACGCTTTGAGCGACACGCGCCCAAGGGTGCTTTCCAAGCGGCTCGACGCCGGCAAGACCATGAATCGTGGTCCAGTTCCACGTTAATTCGCACACGGCTCAGGCGGAAAGGGAGTCGTTCGAATGGCAAAAACAGTCTTTTATCAAACCGTTCCTTTCGCGACCGTACGAACGTCGTTCATCTCGGACACGCCCCTCGGCGTCGTTCGTTTCGCCAGCGATTCGGCCCGTCGAAAGTCCACGGGGATAAGAAGAAAGCCCCGCACCGTCGCGTTAGGGAGAGGCAGAGCGATTGACCCGAGAGGTTAGCGAAGTCGGGTGATTTTTTCATGGGGGATCAACTTGTCTGCCATATTAATGACCACGGTGGTCGGATTATCCGTCGAGGTTACCCAGCGGTCTTCCTCCGGGCTGAAGCCAACTTTCCTGGAAAATTGATTGCGCTCTCTGAAACTCCTCTCTCTTTGTCCCTCTCGCTTCCTGCCCTCCCTCTCTCTTGTTCTCTTTCTTTTTCTTACGCTTTCTTCTGCTGCGCGAAAGGAAAAAAAGAGACGCGACTGGAAGGAAAAAAATGACGGGAGGGCGGACGGAAGGTGTCAAGGGAGGACGGTGACGCAGGCTTCGTCGGCGTCGAGGAACGGGAATTCCTTTTCTCCGGCATGATCAACCGAAGCTAATTATTTTCGCCGAGCGGCTCCCTTTAATTGGTGTTTTCTTATCGACTATCCTTGGCGGTGTAAGAACGACGAAGCCTTTCGAAACACGAATTTCCGCTCCCGCCGTTCGAGTAATTCAGTTCTGGAAGTTTCTTTCACGACGTGAAGTCCTCTTGCCTGTCCACTCTGGAACTTCACTACGAACACAGTCTCTTCGCCTAAGAATGGTTCGTTTCGTTAAAGGGGATCGCTTAAAAGCAGCCTTGAGAATGCTAAACAATCGCCGGTCAAACGTTTCGTGCGACGACCTCGAGGTGGTCAAAAGAAAATGTAAAAAATTCACGAGACGTTGCTTTAAATGCGATAAAACCTCGGAAAAGCTGCTTACATTTGAAACGTAAACGACGAATGGCGAATCGCCAGGGACGGATCTCTCGTTATAAACATTCGACATTGACTTCCTGGCGGAGGAACTACTGCTTGGTCGAAACAAGGAAACAATGAGAGTCAAAGACGAATTTCTAAAAATCTTTAGAGTCCTTTTTACTGTTTAAACACGTCGTAGCTAAAGTGACTTTCACGTACAAAGTAAATATGTAGAATATACTAACAGACGAAATTCAGTCGTCTGAAGAGGATAACATAATGGCACTACCATTAAGCAAAATAAATAACTGAATAGAAATGGAACATAACTTTGTGTCACCTTACAAAGAAAATTTCACAAATGTGAAATATTAAATTTAAAACACCAAGCTACGTTCCTTTCAATGTTATCGAGTTTCAGTGTTGAATGATTGAAATCATGGTTGGAAATTTTCACACTTTTTGTTTTAGAATTTAAACCAAACGAAACTTGATCTCCAAACGCTGTTCAATTCCGTTGATATCGGAATAAAACTGACAAACTATAATTTGCATTTTGCTATACGTGTTGCATGGTATATAAAATGCTGTGTAATAAGTTCAATTTTCTACAAGTTTCTTACATTTTCATTTCAGAACCTTGTGAGAAGACCTACTGTTCTTGGGGTGCGACATGCGTGGTATCGGAGAACGGTAAACCCTTGTGCCAATGTCCACCTGATTGTCCTTCGACTTCGGAACCGGTTTGCGGCTCCGACAACGTGACCTACACCAACTATTGCCACTTACGGAAGACCAGTTGTCTCGAGAGAAGGAACACGCGAGTGAAGAATCAAGGCATCTGTGGTGAGTACTATTTCTTCGTATTTGTCCTCCGCTTCGTTAAATATTGGAGAAAGTTCGAAAAAAGCGGCATTGTTAAATGTTTAACTTTTTAAAAGTTACAAGAAATTCGTTATCTGAGGACTGAAGTCATAAACTTAATGCAAGAAGATGATTAATTTGATCAAACAGAAAGTTTGGAGGCATCCCATCGAAATTACAGTAGTAGTTCTATAAGGTATCGGAAACACGGCGAAGCTGATTCACTCTTATCTCTGCTTTCCTTCCTTTCTTTTTATCTGTCTCTCTCGGAAATGGATGCTACGACGAGATTCGCGTTGCTGCAAATATTTCCTGCCGCATTCGTAATGGCCGCATTCGAGCGTTTCGATTCCCTAATGGCGTTCGCGGGACATCCACGTGCGAAATATCCATGGCGCGGCGCGACGCGCCGGTGAGATCTGTCGATTCAAAGCGGAAACTTATTCCGCGATATCCTGCAATAATGATAATGTCCCGATATCGTGACGCGTTCCGGACCGTCACGTCATACGATTCGCGTTCGGGTATCGTCGGCCGCGAAAATAGGGACGCGAGCTCCTCGATACGCCGCATCCGGTTGCCTCGATATCCGTCGCAGCTAAAATGCTTCAAGGATATAAACGAGGAGTTACGCCCGGATACCTGAAAATCAGAATTGACATAAGTTCATTTGTCGTGTTTATAATTCCGGAGGTGCGCAGCCGGCTTTGCATTATTTTCACGGAGCTGCTGAATCAGCTAGTCTCAAGTTGCTGAATTATTCTCGGAGCTTTTCGTTCCATTTTGTGGACGACAACGATGTTACTAAATTATTTCGCTATGTTAAGTATAGACACCATTTTTAATTAGAAATTCAGACAATCTCCCCAAAATAATTTTTTAATTGAATAACGCTGTCTGTCGCGTAAAAGTATTCATGAAGGTGTGAGAGGCTGAATTCAACGATTAGATGCATCAGAAAATTCGTCAGGCTAATATTAACAGCGACCGGTTTAAAGCAGAGTGCTTTGAAGTTTAAGTGACATAGGATATTAATACAACGTGACTCTGAAATAATGATATTTACATTTAATTAGTTTGCTTTGTGAAGTCACCAAACGCCCAGCATGTAATACTCCGACACTCGTTTATTCAGACTTTGAAATTCGGGATGAACTTCGCTTATGGGTGCTTACGGCAGGCGGACGTGGCGCGGCGCGTCGTGAATCGACGTCGTGTGCGGCGGGATCAATTTTCACGATGTACAAGCGGTAAAGATAAAACGCGTGTATACCGCCGGTGGGGTGAAACGATCGGGAGAGAAAATTCGAGGGCCCGGAAGAGGAAACAGACGCGCGCACACGGCTCCGAATGTATTTTATCACTCTCGGATCTCTTTTTACCACGCCATGGCCCGTCCGGCGGGATCTTTCCAGCTATGAATTAACCATCATCCGATACCCGATTTTTGCTACGGGTAGAAAGCTCGCCCCGGAGGTCGTCGATGCGCTGATTCTCAAAACGATCTTTTATTCAAACGAGCCTACGCGCGCTTGTATCGACACGTATCCAGCCACCTACCCATCCTCTTCGAACGGCGAGAACGGAAGCACCGTGAAAATCTTATGGCTTTTCGCGAATGGAATGCATTATGTGGATCGGAAAACGAGAACGGCTGACGAGCTCTGCAGCGCGGCGCGTGTTCATGGAAATTGCTACGGAATTCTCTCAAGCTTCCGCAATTGCTGAAACCCGTTGGCATTTTAATCGAAAGGAAATTGAAGTATTTAGTGATATGGATGCTGCTGATAGTTCTGGATAATCGATATCCGGCAAATCTAACTTGATACCATAAACTGGGGTAGCATGGCTACTGCACGAGCTAACAGCACGTCGTGCAAGACTATTAGTAATCGAAACAGGCAATTAGGAGTTTATGAAACAGTACTGTTCATAATGATATAATACTGAATACATTAGGTATCTGAATTATTCGTACATACATAGAAGCACTTAATTATGCGTAGGGGAAGTTGGGAACATTCGTTTGCTACGTGCAGTATAAATAAAGGAGATATTTATTAACAAAAACTCTGTCTAGTTTAGCGAGCGAGTTCCAAGTTTAATCGTGTTAAGTTGTACAAGTTCTTGGTTACATAAGTTATCCTTTGTGTGTCAGCAGCACTCGAAGTTCTGCTCCATTAATGTTCTGCAGTATTTTAACTCGCAATTTTATGCGTTTATTGGGTTAACTGCGCTTTTTAATAAATTCCAATTAATCAAAACCAATTAATAATATACGAGCAACATAAAATGCATGGCGAGAGAAGAAAATTATTCATAGTCGCTTAATAGGGTTTACATTTTTAAAAACGATAACGTTTAGATATGTTTATTTTTCAAATTGTGTTTATAGGTATACAATTCGTTTTGTTTTACGTTACCGCAAAACACTGAGAAAACAAATATTGATACATGCGAATTTTACAATCACAATAAATATCTGTTTCAAAAACCAATAAAACAAGTGCCTACATTCCTAGGGGCTCTAAAAATTCAAGACGCAACGTTTCCTTCATTTTCACCCTTACCTAGCTTATCTTTCCCTTGTTCTTATCTTATCGAAAGTAGTTCTGGTTCATTGCAAATTCACGATAGCAAGATACTAGAACTTCCGTGCTATTAAACAAATCTGTTTTAGTAATAAGAGTGGTAAAACAGTTTAATAACCGCCTCTATCATCTAAGTCAGAAGCTTTTTATATTTTTATCGCGTCGTAACCGTGAGATTTGTCACGAACACTATCTCTATGTACCGTCATGCTATTAACACTATCTTTTTGGAAATTATGAACATTTAATTAGATCAACTTTATATGGTCGCTCCTGCGGTGAATAACGCACCCAACATTTAATGGTGTGCGATATTTCGTCGAAACGCGCACCGTGAATTCTTACTAGAGTTCCTTATTCCGACGCCTCTCTAACAGCTTTCCCATGTGCACGTAAAATTATTATGCGAGAAAACAATGCGGTACGAGAGCGTGGCGACATCGTATAAAATAGACGCATGTCCCTGGCGGTTTTCCCGGACAAGTTTTCCTTCTGATGTTCTCTCCTTCTGTCTGCTTTTCGCGCCTCGTTCCCGTGCTTCCAGCGTTGTTTAAAGTATCTGCGCCACGTGCGTATTCAAACTTGCACAGTCTTGTTGTCTCTCCTTCTTATTCCTGATTGTGTACATTCAATTTCTACCGCTTCAGTATTTTCCATTTCAGTTTCCTTTTAGTGTACATTCGGAGAAGTCGTTAATTATTATCCTGCCACGTGTCTATCCTTGTTTATTTTGCAACACGGAGCTTTAATAGAATTTTAGTGCCGTGCCTCCCATTTTTGTCCATTTTGTTATGCTTATAGACAACGTGATTTTGTTGAAAATTGAATCTCACCGTTTCTGCACGATTTCGGAGGTAACGTGTTTGACGGAGTGAAATGGAAAAACGTAACAGGGTAGATAAGAAAACGAAAAGGGGATAATGAATGATAAGCGCGGTCTTAAGCGCGAGCTTTCGGGCATGTTCCACCCGGACGTCGTTTCACCGACTTCGCTTTATCTGCTTCCTTCAGACTCCGTGCCGCGAATTCCTCGATTATTTAATCTATCCTCACGGCTCTATGATTCGCGATGAAATTCGTACGGAAGCGGCCGAGCTTCCGCATGATATCCTCGATAAATTGATGGCTGCAATCTGCGCAGGGAACTCTATATTTAATTGCCGCACGGTATTCCTTCCTTCTCGATTTCGCTACCAAACTTTGTTACCAATTTCGCGATACGAATTTCGCGAACGTGCGCGCGACGGCGAGCAGTACTTTCAAAATACATTCACGCGTCTCATCGGGGAAGGAAGTTGAAAGAGGACGGGAACGTCTGTTCCGTAGGAGCTGTCCGTTGTAATTCAATCCGTCCTCTGATTCAATTGACATTTCAATATTCAGGACAGCGGGACACGATTTTTCTCATCATGAAACGTTAATGAAATGTTTGGATTCTCCGATCCGTAAAACGTGTATTAATTTCGCGCATGTATTTCGAAACGGACGGAAATCTTATTAGAGGATCGTTCGCCTTCGATGAAAATTAGGTTGTACGAACGAAAATTGAATTTCGATGTGATCTAGAGTAGAGGTAAAGTTGGCGGAATTTATTCTGCTGAAACATTTCGTGTATTCAGCTTTCTCGATTAGCGAAGATTATTTTTGCAGCTTAATCGGTGGTGAATGAGAGCGGGGAGAAATTAAATTAATCTTATCGGCTTAAGGAAGGTCCCTTCCGATCCGGATGCCAACCCCAATCCCTTCGTTTCCAACTCACGTCACTCTCGGAAGTGCTACCGCTTTGTTTCTTCCGTGCTAAGATGCTTTTACACGGAGCGAATAAATTAACATTCTTAACACAGGTTTTACAATAGCATTCTTCTAAGCGAACCTCCTTAAATGGTTTAACACTATTCCAAAGGAAAATAATCAAATTACACGTGTCTATGCGTGTGCTCATTACAAAGTTTCAAATTAAATAAGCAACTCCTTTACTTGTTCAATAGTATCATTGTCGTTAAAGTATCGGGAAGAACGAAATTTAGTTTTATTTACGAATAATCCAACTAAAGCTGCGATTACTCCCTTAATTGACTCGGATCGCGAACAAAGTGGATCTACGAAGGATTTGGCCAACATAAATCGAAGGAACGTTCAGTTAATTATTGATCTGAATTGGATTCGGCGGAGGTGCTCAACCGCCTCTGATGCCCTCCGGGTATCGTTAGTCGAATGAAATTCGAACGGCATTAATAACTTGAACGAGATCGACGATTTTTCCAATGCGCGGACGTCGTTGGTCACGAAAAAGGCTACGTCAAAGTCAATAGGATGTGATTAAGTTAATTGGGAACTATCTCTTCGGTACACTTCATTACATCTTCGAATCGGGTCGTGCTCAGTCAACTT